CTTTGCCCGTGCAGTCGGTCAAAACTTCTAAGTCCCATATCTCCCGAACGGCTGAACCGAATGGACTGATTTTTTCATATGGGTACATCCAGACTTTGGGGAAATTATGTTCTGTTTTAATTATGTTAAAAGGTTATCTGAGGGGAGGAGATGCACAGTATGTATATTGTTATGATTGGTTGTACAGTTAATTATATGGGAGGCTCCCTTGCATGGGCAGAATCCCATAAAAAGAGAATGCCTGTCAATAAATCCTGAGTTCATCTTTGTACCCTTCTTCTGACTACGTATGCTGTTTGGGAGTTCGTGTGTTTTACTGAGGGAATTATCCAGGGACACTATTGGAACTACACTGGGATTCGTCTACCATAACTACCGAACGGAGGGCTATGTTCACTAGGCTCTGGCGGTTCGGGAGGAAACTACCGATTGAGGTTTAAATGCACTTGGTTTCCTTACAATGGCAAACCTCTGACCACCATTTAATTCATTTTATACATTAGAACACTTTTATAAGACTTAATCTTGACCCCTCTGCTTTTCTGGCCACTCGTTCAGAATTGGAGCCGCTACTGCAGCTTCAAGTCACAATGTCCCTGTTCATATCGTTAAAAGGTTAGGACGCTGGAAGTCAACAGCATATACCAGTTATATACCACATCCAGAACAGGAATTAAGATTAGCATTTAAAAATTTAGCTTTGTAATATGTGTGTAATAAAGGTTATTTGTATAAATCAACTTTTTGCCCTCATTTATTACAGGCCTACCCCATACGCCGGTTCCTGCACACCACAACAGACTTGTGCTTACTTCTACTTATATTATATTATCATTACAGCTTTATGTCCCCAACTACAAATGTATTTTATGTAAAACTCCGGTGACTACCACAGACAATATTTATCTGTACTATGGATGTCCTCTGAGTGTGTAAATATATATATATATAGTTATGTAAATATGTGTTGTTCCCTTAGTGTTATACTTCTCTTATAACTATTTATGACCTATAACTTACATTTCCCATTTTTAGCGTGATATATGAAAACTACTTAGTATATTATCCCTCTATATTATGTTCTACTTTGTTACAGTTTTTCTCGTTTAAACAGAAACACTCATGTACTAATTTCAACATAATGGAATGCTATGTTTTATATATTTTTTACCTTTGTTTTATCTGTAATTTTGACTGTACACCTTTTTCATTAACAAACAGCATGAACAAACACAAAACAAAAAAACACACCACCATTGTGCCCTTGACCAAAACCCACATTTTATCGTTTAAGCTTCTGTATTTTTATATCTGTTTTTGTGTCTATAACTATATATAAAACCATTACATTATCATGGATTTCACCCAATGTGCACATCTTCCTATACTCGTACTTATTTTTTTTTTATATTCAAACTTTGAACTTTGTTTCATCATACACAACATTCAGATAAACTTAGACTCTTCTATTATTGCTTATTGCATCATAAAAACAACTTTTCAGTCCTCTATGTCCTTTTGTAGTGTTTCATTAAGACTGTAATAATGTTTTTGTTTGTTTTTTTACTGTTTGTCAAAGTGACACCCCTAGTTTTCCTTTTGAGAGGAAAAAAATATATATTTTCTTCTCTATTAATGCTTTTCTTAATTTAAATTATTTTCTTGAAGCCATTGTTTAAGAGTCTGTGGTTAATAAAAAATACATTTGTGATCTTCGTAAGTAAGGTTCAGTCGTGTCGGAAAGCCCCATGCGTATTTTATGCGTATGTTTTCTTAATATACCAGTGAAAAGCGCATATGCTTTCCTGTTCAGTCTTGTTTTAGAAGATAAGTCTTTAAAGACCTTTAATTGTGAATAAGGTGAATCTTTTACCACCTTAGCAGCACTGGCCCGTACCACTTGTTTTTTTTAAACACAATGCAGGCACAAGATCATGTCTCTTGGTACATGTTCTGGCACAGAATTAGGCTTCATGACTCTGTGACTTCTTTCGATGTAATTGGTTTCTTTATTTGGGAGTAATTCCAAAAATTTTAAAAAATCTAGACAATGTTCTTGTCAGGATTCTATCCTGTCAACCAAGGTATTGTTTTATTTTATTGCTGCAATACCTGTTTCTCGTCTCTAGTTGCCTCCCTAACCACTAGTCAATCCTCAGTTTCTCTCACCTGCCTCATATGAATTTCCAAGTCTGCTATAAAAGGCCACACCCAACTCTTCTCATGGACTTTACATTGAAGTCAGTGTTCTGACATCCTGAAAACATCCTATATACTGTGAAGTCAGTGTTCTGACATCCTGAAAACATCCTGTATCCTGTGAAGTCAGTGTTCTGACATCCTGAAAACATCCTGTATCCTGGCTCCTGAAAACATCCTGATCCTCTATGGAGACTCCGTGTGTCCCGTCGCCGGAATCCTCCTGAAACTCTTATCTTCAACTGCTGCAACACTGCATGATCCTGTAAGCAACCTGTACCATATTATACTGGAATCTACTTACCTGTCTCAACTGCTGCAACACTGCATGATCTTGTAAGCAACTTGTATTTCATTATACTGGAATCTACTTACCGGTCTCAACTGCTGCAACTCTGCATAATCCTTTAAGCAACATGTACTATAATACACTGAAAGTACTTACCAGCTTTAACCCTTTCAACCCTGTATCATCCTGAACCTGGCTGCAGTGTGACATTCCACAAACTACTAATCTATTTGGAATAACGTCAAACCTACTTACATATAAAAGACTTTATTAATTTACTTAAAGATATCCTGTTTGGGGCATATTGCCTTTATTCTGTTTTAACTCTCAAAGTATCCTTTTTGTGGCATATTGCCTTAATCCTTTCCTTCATATAAATTGTTATGTCTAAAAAGACAAAGTTTCAACCAATAACCCTGGCAAACGTCTCCTCTCTGACCCTGCTCAGGAACATGACAATTTTTCATTTTCTAGATGGGGAGATAGTTTCAGGAATGCCTCTAATTCTGAGGTTATTTCTACGTGACCTGTCTTCAAGATCTTCAATCTTGTTTAGTAGACTTTCCGTTTTTTCATCTAGTGTTTTCAACCCCTCAGTGTTAGTCTCAGTTTGTAAAGAGATATTATCCGTCTTCTCTTCCATTGCCTTTAGTCTTTCTCCGATCTTGGCTAGGTCATTAATAATGTCAATAGAGGAAGTGTTTTTTTTTTTTTAAGTGTGTATACGAGCACTTTGCTGCTTATCCAAACGGTCTTTTTCTGCCGTCTCACAACTTCTTTCTCTTTCTCAATTCCGTCGGCCAGATTATAGAAACCTGGGGCTGCCTTTACATGAACCTCTTCACCGCAGTGTTGGTCTCTGTGTCTCAGCGTCCAAGCATCAGCGTTTTCTCGGAACCCGGCAAGTTACCCACGAGGCATGGGCGTGCGTGCATCTGTGTCGTTACGTTCCCCTGTGAGTGCTCTTGTCTGTTATAGGTATGCTTTTGACAGCAATAAATAATTTTTACGAGTCCCACTGCTCCTATTTTGCTACGAGCGTCTATAGGAGTGAGTATGGCTACATTTTGAAGAGTCAAGCGAAGTGGTCAATTATGGTGCAAACATTTCTCTCTGGTTTTCACATTGTTGGATTATTAAGTTTCCCTGGTCTGTTTATAGCACATGTGTAACAACTTTTCTTTGCAGCCTCCGTTCATGTGGGCCCATAGTAACTCATCCAATAACTGTCCTCATAATCATCTTCTGATCTCTGGAGCTCTGCTCTTGATACCTGACTACACTTTTGGATAAACCTCTCAACTTTGTCCCCATCACTGACTTCTGACCTTGGCTCTCCAAGCCTGACCCCTGGATCAACTCTTTATCCTAGTTCATCATTCTGGTTTTGGAGTTTCTTAATCTTCACATGACTAAGCTTACTGGTCATCTTTCAACCGAATTTGTCATTGATTTCCGACCTCGGCTCTCCAATCCCGACTGTTTCCTCAGAACCGTTATTACAGTTACCTCTCTCAGCCCCCAAAAAATCATATTATCCCAAGCCCCAACCTTCCATCGTAAACTACTTCCAAAGACTTCACTCCGTAACTTCAGAGCTACATTGTACCTCTTGTCAATCTCTTTACAATTATTAATCATCTATAACTTGAGTTCTCAAAGAGGTCCTACTGTATACATTGTGAAAATGTAATGCTGTTTATGATTTATGCTAAAATATGAGTTATTTAACTTCTTGACTTAAGCATATTAATATCCAGGACAGGGCCCTAAATGCCAGGTTAGTGAGGTGAAGGGGAGGCTGTCCCCTCCACTCCGCTTGACACTGTAGGCCTCCAGGGCAGATTGCGATGTGTGCTTGGTATTTTTCTCCAAGACTCTGCCAGACTGCTGGCACGGTATATGCAGGTGAATTAGTCGAGTTTGTCTTCGAAATCGGGTGAAATACCCCTGTAATCATTATAATTTCAGGTTTTGTCGAGGAGCCCCTGCGACACACGTCTGCCTCAGTCGGCTGCCAGGCCCTGCCCCCAGTAAAGTATTTTTATTTACTATTCAAATTGCGGTGTTCTCTCATAATTGCAAAAGATGACACCATCATTACCTGGAATTGTGACAATTGGTTAGTTATTCTCTCTGGGTGTACACTATGCTGTAAAGTACTGTGCACAACAATATGCGAAGTGTAAATCAAATGTAGTATTTCTTGCCTATACAATATTTGATCTTTTTATTGAAGGAATAGACCAGGGTATTGCACTTGTGCTGTAGATAAGTACCTTACATAACTTTTTTAAAAATTTTTATTGTTTTTGGTACACAATGTCATTGAACCTGTGGATTTGAAAACCAATGCAAGAAGATAGCAAATCCTGATTTGTAAATATTTAATTACAATCTTGTCGCCTTTGACCTGATTCGTCACTCATCAGTTAGGACATGGGCAAATCGTTAACTGGATGCCAAGTCATGCTTAGGTGTCTGATAATGTGCAATAATTGAAAATGAATCTGTCTTAACGTAATGGGATTCTGAAGTCTCACGAAGAGGAACGAGTCATGCCAAGTCATATTTATATTCATTTTACGGTCCTTTTCTTTAGATGGTATGGTCTTTCTTTGGTGGGTTGTTCAATTCAATAGTTTTTATTAGGATTTATTAAATAAATGATTGTCAGATCTAATGTTTGTTGGATGTAATCTGTGTCTCTGTTGGAAGGGCACTTTTGTTACTACAGGTTAGTTTTATCCATTCTAGAATTCATTTGTAACATGGAGGATTAGTTTTCTTTGGAGAAGTGTTGTGTTTATTAATTTTCCGTTTGTTGTATTGGTTGTCAGGTTTGCTAGTTGGTGGTTGTGTCAAATTTTACATTGTATGTCCTTTCTATTTCATTAGGGAGTTCAAAGTATATATGATAAGAACTCATCGTGCTTCTAGATCTCCATGTCCGTTATTGTTTTATTTGTCGGAGGACCATTTCTGATAGCTACAAAGCAGTTTTATCTGTTGGGAAAGAAAGCTTTAGGTGTTGGATGGTTGTAATAGTTATTCTAACACTGTGCTATAGAATATACTGATTGTTTCTTTCTCATTAAGTTAGTCTTAAAGGTTTGGAATTTTGGCAACTTTTCTCCATGGCGTTAAAGGATGTTTTGGACAAGGACAGCCTTTTCTCCCCCTTTCAGGCGACTATGGTCTTCTTCCTCTGTGCTCCACTAACTCTTGTAGGGACTCACAACCTCATGCAGATTTTCACAGCTGCTGTACCACCTCATCACTGCCGCTCTAACATCACAATGTACCACAACCGCCTACCAACAGATCCTTGTACTCGTTTTGTTTCATTCCTGACCAATGACACTGAGTCCTGCAGTGACAATGATGGCTGGGATTATGATCTGAGTGTATACACATCAACTATCATTAATGAGGTAGGTGATGCTAGGACTTAATTTTAAAATAACAGCTTGAAGCAGGACTGACATCTATGATCTTTCCTGCTGTTTTTCCACATATATCTCACTTCTCTTCAGTATCCAAAAAGTCCAGACGAGGATGAAGAGAATACAATATTTTTAGTCTACGAGCTTGTGGACCACAGGTACCCAGTTCTGCTATTGGTGTACACTTGACATAAGAAGATGGTTATTTAATATAAAATGGAATTTATATTCATCAGAAAGTACAAAACTGCCTGAAATTTAAGAACAGAATAGACAAAGTCAGCTATGCTTCCAGGTTGACTAATTTGGCCTAAACTTTTACGTTCTCACTTTTTTTGTGAATAACCCTTTCAATATTCCAAATATCCAAAAAATATATAAAATTGTAAATTGCAGTTGCTATTACAACTTTTGTATAAATAAACATGTGCGTAAATTTTTATAATTCTTTGTGCTTCGAGCCCTCCATACCTATCAATGTCCAACAGCACGCACATGGCCTCTTACTCCTGATTGGCCACATATTTTAATTATTTTTAATATGTACAACATGATTTTTCAATTGAGTTATAGTGGAGAAAGACAGGAACTTACTGAAACTCTTTTTTTCTGACATTATGCCCTATTCTCCATTAGTTGTTTGTCCTCCTCCTTTATTTAAGAAATTCTGTAACACTTACCTGAAATCCAGGGCTGTTTTTGCACAGAATTAACAATAGACCATTCCGGGCTGCTTACGTCATGTGTTGCAGGGGTGCAACTAGCTCCCGACAAAGAAGTGAAGAAATATTAGTATGGGCAGCGTTTTAAGTCAAAAAGCTTCACAAACAGATTCCTACTACCATGACCACTTCTAAAAGCAGGTTGGAGTAATGCTTTAAAAAAAAAATGTTGATTAGATAAAAACTTTATACATACTGTAGGATTGATTAAACAAGAATATGCCTTAGCTGAATGCAAGCTCAACTGAAAGCTAACAATAGTTAAAATAACAATTGAAAAATCAAAGGAAATAGGGCGTGCCTTTAATGGAAATATATAAAAGTATATCAAATATAAAAATGAAGTAAAAAGAAGTCCAAATTATATAAAATATAGATATTTTAAATGAAGTAAGAAAGTCCAAATATATAGTCCACAAATAAATGAAGAGTGTTCTTTGTAGCGTAGTCTAGTCTTTTTCCAGGAGATGAGTTGTATTTCTCAATGGGCCATATGTGGAAAAAGTAAAGAGACAACCAATGGTACAGTATGTTGATATAAACTGAAATATATGTAAATAAATTGGAGTTACTCACAATTTCCAGAGCTAAAATCCAGCTTTGGTATGAAATGCGTGGAGTGGAATGATCCCCACTCTGGGATGTATGGAGCGGTGACTTGCAGAATAAATGATCCACCGAAGACTCCGACCGGAAATTAATACAAATAAGGAGAATATAGTGCTCACTGTTTAATATAAGTTAAAAAGAAGGTATGAAATGTACTTACAGAGTATTGAGCATTCTTATCTGCTCAATTTTTAGCGCATGGGTGGTATGATCCCCACCTAAGGATTTTCAGTAAATCCGTATTGGCTCAGGTTAGTCAGGTATGAAATAAAAATTAGAAATAAAATAAGGAATGTGGCAGAAAAGGTTTGAGGCCAAAATTCCTTTATTATAACAGTATAAAAATATTAAAACAATTTCTAAATGCGTTTTGCCCACAACAGGTTTCTTCCAGTAGAATAATAGTAAAGACAGTAACCTGGCTAACAATGCTTTATATATGGTTTGTTCAGTATATTGGAATTTGAATATTCCCGCCAAAATGACGTCATCACATACTTTAATTTTAGATACATAATTAAAATAGCATAATAGTAACATAAAGAGCTTTAATATGCATTTACAAGGTCATTTATTATAAAATAACATAAAAACGAGGTGTAGAAATTAAATAATACGGATAAAACATAAGTCCTGTGACGTACGCGGAAATGAGAGACTTCCGCGTCACGTGGGTATGGTGGAACGCATGCGTTCCATAGCAAAGGAGAAGGCCAGGGAGAATGAATAGAGGGACATACAAATTGGGGAGCAGTGGTTAAAAAAAAAAAAGAATAAAATGCATGCATTATATTTATCAGGGAGATAACTCACATCTGTAAGCAAATGGTGATTAAAGGGACACTATAGTCACCAAAACAACTTTAGCTTAATGAAGCCATTTTGGTGTATATTTTGTTTATGCAGCTCTAGTAACACCTTCCTGTAATAACAGTCTTCCTAAACACTTCCTGTAAAGTGAGATCTAACGTTTAAACTTCCTTTATGGCAAATTCTGTATAATTTGGAATTTCTTATTTCCTGCACTGTTCAAAACTTGGAGTCTCCTGTATGGGATTAAAGTTCAATTTATAGAGCAGGAGATAAAAACTTCTAAAATAAGTTAACATCGGATTGACAATGAAAACGGATTAGAGTGAGAAAGATGGCGGCGCTCGTGAGGGACAGGTTATGAAAAGTAATCTCACCTTCACCTTCCCCCCCCATTCCCTTGGCCAACAGACTGCCAGCAGCAATGTCACTGTCTGGGGACCTTGCAAATTCGGCAAAGTACCCAGATGGTGACAGTGCCGCTTTAAGCTAAATTTTTGAGTTGACTATAGCGTTCCTTTAAGTTCCAGAGAGGGCGTGAAATTGCAGTCTTGTGAAAGTTGGTCTTTGTAAGTTCACCCTCTGATTCCGACACACTGACACACCTGCATCAAACTTATACAATTCTTACCCCTTCAGATGCTTGCATCATTTTGTGAGAGTACCAATATTAACGCACCATTGTCATCTTCACATTGTTCCCAGGCAACTAGGTGTCATTCTGTAGGGTTACCGAGTTTGATGCATTTGCATTCATTTCTTTCCAACCTGTTCAATTCAGATGCAGCGTAATTTTCACCAACTACTTATGTCATTCTGGCCTCATTCTATCCTAAAATAAAGCAAGCCTTAACGTTAAGGCTGGTGGTATTGTAGAGTGCAATGTTGTAAGAGGGTCAACCAGGGAAAATTGGAAACTGCTCTTTAATGTATAGAGAGAGGTATATCTAGTAACAGAACACAGCCCCCATAATGGTGGTTAGTAAGCAGCAAAGCACGCTTTGACACCAACTTTAAAAAAAAAATTGTTAAAATAAAAAAAAAATATATATATATATGGTTTACAGTAAAGGTGTTTTCAAGTTAAGAAGCTAGAATGGGACTATTCAGTAATTGTATACCTAGCTGATTATTTTACATCCATTGTCATTTTATGAACAGTTCTGCATACTATTTGATAATATTCAGCAGTGTTTAATATGATGAATACACAGTAAATGATTAAAAATATACCCAGAAGACCATTTTTAAAAGCAAACTGTTGGCAGGACTGATGTACACAAGAAATGCATCTGATTATAATGTTAATCACACAGCAACGAATTAACAATATTCTGTTCTGAAACAGTGGAATTTGGTGTGTCAACGGGAATATATGAAGGAATTGGCCCAGTCCCTTTACATGGCAGGGGTTCTGGTTGGAGCAATAGTATATGGACCACTTGCAGACAGGTAATATGTTGAAAAGAATAATCGAAACATATCATTGAGATTTGTACAAATACAAGTTAATATATTCTGGTTCACAAGGGATAAATGCTAATAGACAATGTTTAAAAACTGTAACTGTGACTGTAGAGTATATTGCAATCCAGCGTCGATAATTGATCAATAACGTTTTCTAACTTACAGCTTGAATGGCAAGTCAGCTTTCAAACATTCAGCAACAGGAAGGGATATACAGGGGTATTCACTAAACTCTGAATGACCCCATATGGAATGGAGCAAAACCATTGTGTGAGGCCATGCAGAATGTGAATTCCATATATTTTTCATTCTATTTTACATACATGACAAATGAACCTGAATATGGTCTGGATTTCAGAAGGACCGAACGTTTGCATGAATGGGTGAAATCTGGACCTAGATCGTTAAAATTCTGGCCCGGATTTTAAAAATTGGACTAAATCCACTGGCTGCCCGCCGCAAAAAAATTAAATAACCCTTGGTGGCACAAGTATTAACCATGTGGAGGTTTTTTAACCAATCATTGCCTGGGAATATTCCCATTCTTGATGTTTCTACACACAAACACGTAGATAGTATCACATGGCTCTGCAGATTTAGGAGTTTTTTTTGTTTTTTTTTACAAACATACTATATGACTCTATACTTTTGAAACAAACTTGAACTTTTATTCCTGGTTAAAAAGGTATAAAACGACTCTTTCCTGTGCTGTGCGGGTCTGTTGTGGCCCTCTGTGCCTGCTTGGCTGAGATCATCAAACTTGATGATTTCAGCCAATCCAATGCTTTCCTATAGGAAAGCATTAGGAGGCTGTTGCGTGTGTGCGGCAACACGCTGCACTGCACCTATCAGCATCTCCTCATAGAGATGTATTGAATCATTGCATCTCTATCAGGAACATTAAGCACCTCCATGCAGCTCTGACCTAGGAAGCACCTGTATTGGCCGTCTGAGTGACTGCCACTAGAGGTGTTCCTTAGCAGTAATGGAAACACTGTCTTTTTTCTAAAAAGGCAGTGTTTACAGTAAAAAGCCTACAGATACAGGCGTAAACACCAGAACAATTAAGCTGTAGTTGTTCTAGTGACTATAGTGTCACTCTATGAAGAGTTTGAATTATGAGTTTTTTTTTACTGAGAACGAGTAGTGAGAATATTTCAGGAAAGCATATTCTTCTGTTTCTTTTTTGTCGCTTATGTTTTTTAGTGGGCTGACTACCCATTTTGCATTACTGAGTCTGAGCCTGAATAACATAGATACATGCTGGTATGGCAGAGCTACATACTTGAAGATCTTCATTTTCCTTTATAAAAAGTAAGAAATTATTTGTTTTTTCTTGCTCACAGTTGATTTAAAGTTACTAGGATGTCGCTCTGCTTTTTTACATTTAGTAACCACCACCCGCTGTCCACGAGTGTCCTCCGCTGCTTTTTATATTTATAGCCCTCACCCAATGCAGTGTCTGGCGAGTCGCAAGTCTATGTTTGGTAGGTGGGGGCACTAGGGAGGTTAAGAACCTTCTTTGTAGTAAGGAGGGAGGGGTCATATTGACCACATAGGCTTATCATTTTTGTTTTCTAACTTTTTCAACGTGGTGGCTGGCTAGCAAACTCTGGGGTATCCCTAACATGGTTAAGCCTCGGGCTCTCGAGTGCTATTTAAATTTTTGTCTTCTGGCTGCCTGTGCTTCCAGCGGGCAAATAGTATTTAAAATTGTTAGCTTGCAAACAGCATGTGAATGATAATTTGCAATTGTGCATCCTGCCAGATGTATTCAGATCTCTGTTTTGTAGGGTTCCGATGTGAAAAGCACTGACAGCATCTGGTCTGGTGCAGATTCTGTAATTTGGTGTTTTTGATGTTTGTTAATATGAAAGTTGCCATTCCGATTGTAATATGGCCATTTTTACCGGATTTGTCAGTCTGGAAAACAAATTGTGCTTAGTGAATAATCCTGACAGTTTCACAGGTTTTACAAACTGACTCAAAATGCACCAATCAAATGCTCTCTATGTATGTAATTTGATTGAATAACGGTGCCTGACTCAGTTATTCAGCGGAAGTGCCTCTAGTGACAGTCAGGAAGACAGCCAGTAGAGCTGGGTAAACCCTTCAATCATAACTTTGCTATATGTATGAAATTGCCAATATTTAAGATTACAGGGTGAAGCCTAATGGGCCACTGCTCCCAGACCACTTCATTGAGATAATGTGGTGTGGGTGTTTTAGTGGTCTTTTAAAGAATATTGCAAACTGACCCCTGAAGGTGACAATGTCGCTCTATAGGAACACTGCAAGCACCATAACACTATAATGCATTGTAGTGCACCTCCTTCCCCTTTACAAGTAGTCAAACCATTTTAGTATGGTTTGATTTTTAACCTGGGGGCATCACTCTCTGACACTTCCGACAGATGGCCAGAAGTTCTCTATCTGAGCTAAGCCCTGCAGTGTCTTATGAACGTTCGGCTCTCTGTAGGCAGTAGTGGATGAGGAATGGCACCCGGCAAACCTCAAACTGTATAAAATGTCACACTGTTCTAACATACATTCGGCGTTCATGGGGCACTCACACCATTAATCATTACAGTGCGCTGAAGTAGTGATGGTGCTTGAAGTATTCCTTTAAAGTGACTTTGCCACCTTGGGGGTTCTTTGCATAGTTTGCGATATTATTTAATCCTTGCACTTTATTAGTCTCTCTAACAACTTATTTTTTAAAAATAAAAACCAAACATTAATAGGCGAACCCCTTGGTTTATCTCCCAACAAATCATTAATAGGTAAACCCCTAAGTCTCCCATCTAATCCAGGTTTTGTGTCCTATTATTTTACTTTCCTTCCTTCTAAAGAAAATGATCACCGTAGTGTTTATATCATGGTGACCCTATCCTGTCTCTGCTTTATTTCCTTTATATATGCATTATTATACAGGTCATGTGACCTTCTTGTAATTACTCATTGAATGTATACACTCAGTTTTATCAATGCAATGTCAGATCACAAATAGTATTCATAAGATAGGCATTATTATGTATTTCAGATTTGGACGGCGGGTTGTACTTCTGTGTTGTCTCCTGCAGATCGCCACTATGGGAATAGGAGCTTCGCTCTCTCCCAACATCATGGTATACTGCATCTTCCGTTTTATGACTGGCATGGGAATCTGTGGCTTAATCATTAATGACCTCGGCCTCGGTGAGTCTCACATGACCAAATAGTACTCAGCTTATTCTATGAATAGAATTCTCTCTACCATGCCATAGAGTGGTGAAGAGCACTTTTAAAAGGGCTGAGGTAGTTGTACTTGTGAATGCCAACCTGGGAGTCTATGGTTGAGGAAATGTGATGGGGTAACAAAACCAAAGCAGACGAAATGCATATATCAGGAAATGTACTATTGATTAATATCTGCCCGATGCATTCATCTCTAAGTAAATTTTCATGATGAGACTTACAAAAGATAATAAATATGACTTGTGTAAATATATATGTGCACAATGGCCATGTTTTTAATGCTCAACAAAATGTGCCATTAATTGCCAAAGCCACCGACTCATCTTAATGTGTGTATACGTGTTTGTCGCATGTGTGAATGAGGCCAGCAAAAGGTCAGAAAAGCACTAGATTGGCCGAAAGTACCTCGCCAATGATGATCTGCTGGGTCAGAGCGGAACTGCAGCGAAAAAACGATTTTCTGAATTAAAGTAACTTCATTATTTGGGGAACACTGGGGGAGCCCTAAGTCAAAAATGAAAAGGAACACACCAACATTAGGAAAAAATAATAAATTATATTAACATATTTCTCAAAGCGGTAAAAAAATATAAGTGGTGATTAATTTTAGGCAAACAGGAAGGAATAAGATAAATAAGAAACAATAAAGGACCTGCTTAAATGAGTTCAGAACCCTGTTGATGGAGCCAAGAACTAACACCATTTGTTGTTGATGGAGGGTGATGTGAACGATAATGTGACGAAAGCAAATTCGCCACTGGTTTTTGGAGAGGACTAATAGCCAGCCTTTTGCCCAAAGACTATGGGCCCTGCAAAAAGACATGCTAAAAAGTGACTTCCATGGGAAAATATGCCTCTTCCCCTTCCCCTCCCCCTTTTTCTTTTCCTATTGTTTCTCCAGCAGGGCGTTGTCCCAGGGACACTGCCAGACCAGTTTAAACTGGCTGCCTTGTCCCTCCTCAATCTTCCATCAGCCCTTGCTGTGGTTTAACCCCATGGTGATCCAACTGTATTCGTGAGATCTGAGCGCTTTTCAGATATATAGAGCGCTCAGATCCAAGCTGTCTGGGGATATGTTGGACATATAGGTTAAACATTGTATTATATGAGTTATGTATTTTTATGTGGGTTTTTTTTTTTAACAGTTTTTGACTTAGCGATATTTCCTGTACCTGGAGTTAATTAAGTTACCACAGCCACTTAAGCCAATTATGTCCAGGATAGAGGAGAAGATAGACCAGCCGTACAGCCTAAATCTGTGGAACTATTTTGGGCATGAAAGCCATGCTTGCGGTCGGTCAAAAGAGACTTCCAGAAAACGTTTGAACCCCTGCTCTGATCTGGGTGATTTTTGGATATGTTGGTCACCCAGATCAGGGCTATCCAGGGATGTATAATGTGGGTATATGTGGTGTTTTGTGAAAAGTGTGTTTTCTGCCTGTGGGTAATTGAGTTAGTCCATTGTTTCTTAATTGTATCACAGGCAGAGGGGAGGGTTTGTGCACATTATCTGGGAGTGTCTATCTGTATGTGGCGAAACCGGCCTCGCCACGTGTCCTTGGAGGGGGCTGCTTGCCCGCCTCTTGCCTTTGGACTATGGACCAGACTTTATGTGAAGTTATTAACCCAGATAGCTATGCCATGGAGCCCATTCGTGTAGTTAAAGACTTCGGCTCCATGGCAATTGAACTGTGTGAATAGGATCTGAGCGCTATTCGGTAGTTTTGTGCGCTCAGATCCCAGCTATCTGGGGATATGTGAAATGTCTGTGTGTTTTTTTTTTGTCAATCTTTCTTTTATTGAGGCATGTGGTCATGGTGGTACAGAATAAAGAGAGGGAGACTTGCAGGGGTTATACAGGTTAGGATCATCATAACAAATTACAAAATCTCCTAGGATTATCATCCTCATTTTATATTATATAAACAAGCTTAGAACATTGAGTTGTGAAAACAGGTGGGCTGTAATCTATGTCTTAGTTATCAAGCTTAATTAATGTAACGTTGATACACCAATTTAAATGTGAATATATCCTGCAAACAGGCTTGGTTCATGCGTTAACTAGATCAGCAGCAACATAGATAGTACCTATAATGCAGTAAAAACGCTAGCGACCCTATTTAGCTAGTGCACCTGTACCTATGTGATGTCAAACAGTTCGTTTGTTCCCAGTAACCTGCTTGGGTAGAGTCGCTTATTAGTATATAGTGGTTGCGCCTAAGGTTATAGATATTCTGTGCAGTGAGTTACATGAGTGAATAATGACATCCTTTGTGGTATAGACATTGCAGTGTAGTCTGGCACAGTCTCTACATTTGGGCCTGTAGGGGTACAGTCAGTCTCTGGGTCGGTCCACCTCAGTCAGTTGATGCCGGCTCTGGAGGTTTTGGCAGGTGGGTCTGGGACATTGGCAGGTGTTGTTCTTAACAGGTTTAGATTAATAAATCAGGTACAGTGGGGTGTTTCAGTATGTGTGTATAGATAGGGCATGTGTCAGGGTTATGGCATGTGCTGGGTAGGCTAGGTACCAGATGTGATTTGTTGCCATGCTTGGCGGTCCCATAGTGTGGCGTTAAGAGTGCTCATTAGTATTTAGGGGAGTAACATTGAGAGAGCTGCACCTGGCTAGTGTTTAGGAAACAGTGTACATTCTTTATGTGATAGGCTTTCATGCCCTTTGTGATATTGCTTGGACAGAGTTATCTCTCAGGTCTAGTGAGTGTGTGCTACATCTGTGTTTGTCATGTTACCTGCTTAGCAGGGTGGAAGACAGGTATAACATTACGCTCAATGTCCACAAGTGTGTCCAGCCGCCCAGTAAATCTTGCAGTCTTTCTATTATGGAATGGGGGGGGCTAGTATTATGACAGTGTCCCATTGCAGTGAGTTCACTAGGCCCCATCAAGGTCGTTTACCCGATGCCTTCTTTGTAGAAGCTGTGTGTGTCCGGTGCTGGGTTTCTGCGTCCTGCCGCTGTGTGGGTGTCAGTGAGATTATCCTTCCAGCCCCAGGCTGGCGTGCAGGCCTGCATCTTCTGGCCACAAACTCGGCTACCGCTAGGGCCCGGGTTTCCTCCACGTGTGGGAGTGGCGGAGGAGCAGGTCGTTTTCTTTCGCTTGCGATGCTTGTTCCTCCGCCCGTGTGGATGATGCTTCTGGGCTCTCTGCCCTTTGGCCTGCAGCCCGGGTGGGCTAGGTTGTGTGTGGGTGGGTAGTTGAGGTGACGTTATGTCCAAGGACTTTCCCTTTACTCCCCTCCATCCGCGGCTCCGCTCCCCAATTGTCGGTAGTGCAGGTATCATGGGTCGGGCTGCTTGTTGCCGCTTCATGAGTGTGTCCCAGAAGCAGTTCAGTATCGCTTCTACGCTCTGTAGGGGTTCATTCCGTGGCGTTGGTGTCCGTTTCGTGTTCGCCATGCGGGTTGCGTTGCTGGCCGCCATTTTAGGTACTCCCTGTGAGGGCCTGCAGCTTTGCGCTTTAGGATTAATCTTGTGCTGCTGTCTCGGCTGGTTGCTATATGAGTCAAGTGGGGACCGGGATGACCCCCGCCGGTCCAGAGGGGGGGGGGAAGGAGGCGAGTGCTTTGAGGGCTTCTTACTTGGCTTTACCATCCAGGAGAGCGGCCGTCTCTCCCTGGCTCGGTCACAGGTAGGCCCCATGTGCTTTGTACGGGTTCCCGGGCAGTGTAGATCTCGTTTGTGGGTTCATTCGATGCTCCCGGGTTTCCCCGACTCGTTGTGTGTCTTCCAGTTGGTGAACGTGTCTGTTTTCGGGGTATTTACCCCCAGTTTAGTCGCTTTTGTGCAGGAGCTGATTCACAGCACGTCTGACCTGCTCAGCAGTTAGGCTCCGCCCCCCAAATGTCTGTGTGTTATGTGTAAATGTGACTTTATGTATTTTAAAGTGTTTTGTGTCTTTTTGCAACCATGTGCTTAATGGAGTCTTGTGTCTGTCCTGGGAGATAATTGAATTACTTATCTCCAGGATAGAAGACTCTGAAACTGGTTTGGGCCAGAAAGCCATGCTTCATTTAGTCACAAAGGACTTTTTACTAACTTTTGAACCCCTTGTCTGATTTGTGCCATTTTTGAATATGTTGTTCCCCTGAATGGATTGATTGTGAATATGTAATTTTATGTGAATGTGATGTATGGTTTTAGAGTTATGAAAGTTGGGTAGAAAGTATGTTTTAACTGTATGTATAATTGAGTTTCCTCTCAGGATAAGGGGAGGAAATATGTGGGATGTAACTGTGATGTGATTGGTTGTTTTATACCTCCCTGTGGGCGGTCCTGTATTTGCAAGACTGTAATAAAAACCAGGCTGGGTGTGCCAGCACCTGAGTTCCTGTTTTAACCCTCAAAGTGAAGTGTCGTCTCATTATTGGGGAAGGATTTATTGTATGCTGTTCCAGTTTGACTGCTAGGAGAGTAAACCTATTCGTATGGTTCCTATTCAACTGTCTACAGCATTCATATGCTTGAGAGAAGGTATACGCTTCTCTGGTTCAGTGATTTTGGTGTCTGCTGCAGTGCTTGGAGTCCTCAGGAAGTGCTAGGAGCATCCTTTAACGGAGGTACCCAGTCGGGGTGCCAGGCGATCCGTTACACTGTACAAACCTGTTTTGATTGGCTTTGTAACTTTGTGTCCTGTGCTCCACAAGGTCCACGTGGGTGGTAACCTTGTGGGAAAACCTGTATAAAAGAGACAATAAACACTCAGACTGCTGAGTTCCTGTTTCACCCTCAACATAGAGCCTCGTCTCATGTGTGGGGGAAAAGGCTGCATCTACACTGGGGGATTGCTATACTCTGTATACTCCCCAGGGCTATAATCACTAAGCTCTTTTAAGAGCTTGTTCCTGCTTTGCTCTCTGAAGGAAGAGAGGTTCACCCACTGGAACCTGGAGCCTTGTCGTAGGTCCAGGTTGGGTAGGATACGGTGAGTTACCAGCCAAGCTGCGGCGGTTCGTGGGATCTGCAGTGCTTATTGTTTCTGATGCGGTGCTGATGGTCCTTGGTAAGCACTAGGAGCATCGATTGACGGAGGGTCCGTCACAGATAATATTTATTTATTGGCCAGTTTTAAGAGCCACTTGAGGAATTGTTTTCATCTTGACAGTCATACATGTTTATCAGAGTTATCAGAGTTATTTAATAGCACATTGCCTGGAATTCAAAGAGAATTAAAAAGTAATTTTAAAATCTAAAACCTATGTAGCAATAGAAGCAGAGCTGACTTGGAGAATTATTCCGGATTAGCTTTTTTTCCCCATAGATTTGAAATTTACTTTGAATCCCTAGCAATTATCACTTTAGCGCATAAACCTGCATGATCTAAAGATTGTATGAAATAAATAATCGAGAAATACAAAGTTACAGAGTTTCCATGCCATGATTATTAGAGCCAGATTTTGGTCCAGGCTACTTGGGCACTGGTGTCGTTCTCCTTCTGATGAAACCAATATGCAGATGAATCAGGGACGTTATTTAACCCCTTAAGGACACATGACATGTGTGACATGTCATGATTCCCTTTTATTCCAGTAGTTTGGTCCTTAAGGGGTTAAAAGCGCATGAAACATTTTTAAAGTGACTTTTAAAGCTCAGCATGCAGGTTTCTTCATGAAAGATCTTCATAAAGAATAGAGAAAAACATCTTTAGTGTTGGTGTTACAAAACTAAAACCTAACCTTTCTGTTGCAGCCATGGAGTGGACTCCCCAAAGATTTCGCCCAATGGTTTCCATGCTTCAAGGTTACTGTCTCTCGATAGGGCAGACTATCCTGGCAGGTGTGGCATATGCGCTAACAGACTGGCGTTGGCTGCAGTTGGCACTGTCCCTACCTTACTTCATCTTCTTTATTCTTGTCTGGTACGTTCCTATTTAAAGAGAAGTAGAGCAACACAATACAATAGAGTTCAAATATAGGAGAAAGCTGAAGCAGCCAGAGAAGGATTAATATTCCATGGGGTACTTGGCAGGTTTGAGGCCCACCTTCATGGTCAATCCTGCTCTGGAATCTGCACAGAATAGTGGCTTCATGTTGGTAAACAGTGATTACTATCTACAATTAGTGCTGAACATGTATTGTAAGTGAGGACATGAGGATAAAATCAAAAGAAGATAGAGGATAGCTGCAGAGAAATGAAAGAAAAATAAAGTGCAACCATTATGCAAAGAACGTGAACCTTTTTTCAAGTTAAACAAATAACCAGAGGTTACCTGTCACAGCAGAGTTTGTAGGTGTAAGACAATGTGTTGTCATTTTATATAGTTGCAGTTAAAAATGAAAGAGGAAAAGACAAAAGCATAACATCAATGCAATACCTTTTATTTCTACGGGGAGTAAAAAACAGTAAATATATACTTTTTATTTCTACATAATTTAACTTTTCCCTCTTACCCAATTTCCTTTCCCTCACTGCTTGCCTGTGGTATGAAAGGTGGGTACCAGAGTCTTCTCGCTGGCTTCTGCTGAAGAAGCGTACACATCAAGCACTTACTAACTTAAATCGTGTGGCCAGGATCAATGGAAAGAAAGGGGACAGTACTATCACGCTAGAGGTAACAGCTATGGCATTTGATTTTTACACAGGTGTAACTAGAAACCAATGGGCCCAGCGCAAAAAATTCCCTTGTCCCTTCCCAATGTGTCTCATCCCCACCCAGATCTTCAATGTGTCTCACCCCCGCATCCCCACCTAGCCCTTCCATGTGTCTCATTCCCCCCTTTCATGTGTCTCATCCCCACCTAGCCCTTCAATGTCTCACCCCCCCATCCCCACCTAGCCCTTCCATGTTTCTCATCCCCACCTAGCCCTTCAATGTCTCACACCCCCCATTCCCACCTAGCCCTTCCATGTGTCTCATTCCCCCCTTTCACGTGTCTCATCCCCACCTAGCCCTTCAATGTCTCACCCCCGCATCCCCACCTAGCCCTTCCATGTGTCTCATTCCCCCCTTTCATGTCTCATCCCCACCTAGCCCTTCAATGTCTCACCCCCCCATCCCCACCTAGCCCTTCCATGTTTCTCATCCCCACCTAGCCCTTCAATGTCTCACACCCCCCATTCCCACCTAGCCCTTCCATGTGTCTCATTCCCCCCTTTCATGTGCCTCAGCTCCCTTCCACATGTCAATTCCCCCTCCAGTCCCTTCCATATGTAAATTTCTCTCCCAGTCCCTCCATGTGTCTCAATTCCCCTGAGTCCCCTCCATGTGTCAATTCCCCCACCAGTCCCTCCATGTGTCTCAATCCCCCCTGTCCCTTTCATATGTGTCAATTCCCCCAGTCCCTTTCATGTGTTGATTCCCCCCAAATTCCTTCCATGTGTTTATCCCCTATTCCCCTCTGTACCTGTTCTGTGCTGTCCATGTAGCGTGGCCGAGTGGACTGCGGTACCCGATCTGACAGGTAGTGCTCTATCGGTGAGTACTTCCTGTTAGACCAGGTAGAGGGAAACAGAGGCCCCACTACTCCTCTCCTGCCGGTCACCCTGTGGCCGCGAACCTGGGCCGGTGCAGCTGTGCACCATCCCTGAAGTGAAGGGTCGCAGCTGCAGCCAGGCCCCCTGGAGTGACTTGGTGTAACTATGTAACTTGGTGGTCGCAGCTGCCACGCCTGCGACCGTGGTAGTTGTGCCACTGTTCCTACCTTTATGACAATATTTTATCCTAGTTATGATCAGCTAATGTTGTTTTTCAGTACAGTTGCCATTCATCCATTTTCTCACCCTCTTAGTGTTATTCACTAAAGTGTGAATTCAAAGTGAATTGCAAGTGGATTTCAAATTTAAGGCCAGAGTAGCCGAACTGGAACTATAGCTAATTTAGAGAATTTTTCCAGTTCTTTAATGTGGACCTCAAATTTTAAATTTACTTTGAATTCTCTCCTTAGTGAATAATCCTGTCTGTTTGATTTGCCGCTCTACTCTCAAATCACTATCTATCATCATGCTTTAATTTAGATGGTGAAGCTTGAAGAACAAAAAGATAGTCCTACACGGAATAATAAACTGACGCCCATCGACTTGTTCCGTACCCCTGCAATGCGCAAAATAACCATTAGCCTCTGTATGTCCTGGTAAGTAGTGTACATCTTTATCTACCTATCTATATGTCTGTCTATATATCTAATTGGATGTCTGGTCTACTTTTTATGTCTCCTCACTCCTACCAACCAGTAAACTCTCTTCCCAAGGTTCTCCGGCAGCTTCTGTTACTTTGCTCTTGCAATGGATATCCAACGATTTGGCCTCAGCATATACTTGGTTCAAGTTGTATTTGGCTGCACAGAAATCCCACTCAGGGTTCTGAGTACCGCAACTGCTGCTTACATCGGCAGGCGATTCACAGTGTTCTCCTCCCTTTTCCTATCTGGGGTCTTTATACTTGCCAGCTTGGCTGTCCCAGCAGGTAAGTCCCAGGCCTAGAACTGTTTTCCATAATTTAATCCCTTCCTGATGTTAGGACATAGCATACCGTCCTGCAGTTAGTCGGCTTAAATGTCTGTAGGATGTCATTGAATGCCCTGCAGATTAATGTGAGCAGGGTTAAATTTCGGTGTCTCCCGTCCAGTTCTAGTGGCCCCAGACTTTTTGATGAGCTTTAGCTATCTACTAAACACAGATCCCTCTCTAATTTGGTACCCTTAAATATGGCAATCATATATGTATACAGAATGTATGTGCTATATGTATGTATATTGTATATGCCTTATGTTGATATAATGTATATGCTGCATGTACGTTGCATGTATATGCCACGTGTATGTAGCATGTATATGCTGCGTGCATGTAGCATGTAAATGCTGCGTGCATACATAATGTCAGGTTTACTTACTAAAGTGAGAATTCAAACTAAATTGCACATGTCTATTCATTGGCACATATCTATTTTTCATGTGATGGATAGTGTTGGACTAAATAGCCAGTAGACGGTCAGCTGCTTTTCCTTGGAATCATTTGTTGTTATTAATCTGGTAAATCTAGTTAGCCACTCTGTGGTCTGATCCATCTCCTTCCAGAACATTCCAATGCTGATTTTTATATCCGTAAATTGTGACAATCTAGGCAATATTTTGTCACTTCCAGCTCCCTTACTAATGTGACTTTTCTCACTTAACCTAATGCTATGGAGAAAAAAAGCACTAATTATTTAGCCTCCATTGCTTGGTATTGGTATTAATATTTTACAATATTTTTACCAATCCTTTCACTTTGTAACTTGCCCAGCTTGGGTCTGACCAGACTGTTTCACCTGCTGGAATAGTTAGATAATCCAGAAAATAACTTTGCATAACACTCTGCATACTCAAAAGCCATTAAGATGAACCAGCAATAAAAGGTGTGGGTACAGGGAGCCAGAAAGTGCAATCAATACATTATCTGTGGGTGGAGTGCCTGCCATCTAACACTGTTCTATAGTGGAAAAATGCCAAACCAGTAAAAATTTCAACAAAGATAATTGAGATAACAAGTACTCAATCAAAAAATTGTGGTAGCTCCAAAAAACAGTCATATAAGCTATATAAACATAATGATCCTTAACACATATCAGAAGATGTATATAGGGGTTACACTCTCAGTGCTGGAATCCTCCCAGTAGTCAAAACATAACTTCATGCAAAGAAAAAAATTTTTGATCTGCACTTATAGTATACAAGAAATTTTTTTGAAAAAAATGCACATTTATTGAGGTAAAAAAGTCACAAAAAGTGTACATTGCATAAATTTAGAACAGCAGTCCTCATGTGTGCTGTAATGGTCCAAACATATAGCCTGTCATTAAAGGACCACTATAGTGCCAGGAAAACATACTCGTTTTCCTGGCACTATAGTGCCCTGAGGGTGCCCCCACCCTCAGGGTCCCCCTCCCGCCCGGCTCTGGAAAGGGGAAAGGGGTTAAAACTTACCTTTCTCCAGCGCCGGGCGGAGAGCTCTCCTCTCCTCATAATGCTTTCCTATGGACGCTGGCGTACTCTCACTGTGAAAATCACAGTGAGAAGCACGCAAGCGCCTCTAGCGGCTGTCAGTGAGACAGCCGCTAGAGGAAATAGAGGAAGGCTTAACCCATTCATAAACATAGCAGTTTCTCAGAAACTGCTATGTTTATGAAAGAATGGGTTAACCCTAGATGGACCTGGCACCCAGACCACTTCATTAAGCTGAAGTGGTCTGGGTGCCTAGAGTGGTCCTTTAACATGGAACGCAAATAACATATGATACAAAAAATCCAAAACCTGTGCTCAGGACCACCCTCAGCTGCTGAACAAGGGGGAGACCACCAAGAAAGCTGACTCCGAAGAAAGTTATGGAAGCCCTAGATGCGTTTCGCACCCCTCCTGGTGCTTTCTCAACATGTGTTCTGTGGGTGGTCTACCTATGAGTGCTGATCAATATATTTTTTCATTGCATGATAGATGCCAAACCAAGCTGGGTAGTTGCAACTTGGCCAACAGGAAAGAACCTTGAGCAGATATTGGTATGGCCTTCAGTCACAGGTAGAACTCCATATTTCTAGATGATAGTAGGCTTGAGATAATAGTGATAGGATGCTTCATATGACTCCCAAAACATTTCTTTCATAGGTGATGCTTATGTGGTTATGGTAATTGGGCCCTAACAACTTAACATACATGCAGCATTTATTCTGGGTTTCCTTAAAATGACTAACTAACTTGAAGCCACGCTACATGACATCACAGAACAGCAGCTGTAAAACTTTAGAAGGATACTATAGTCACAAAAACAACTTTAGCTTAATAAAGCAGTTTTGGTGTATAGATCATGCCCCTGAAGTTTCACAGCTCAATTCACTGCCATTTAGGAGTTAAATCACTTTATGCAGCCCCAGCCACACCTCAGCTGGCTGTAACTGACACAGCCTGCATGAAAACAAATTGGATTCATTTACAATCAGATGTAAATTACTTGTTTTTATCTCTTCCTCTGTAAATTGAATTTTAATTACATACAGGAGGCTCCTGCGGGGTCTAGCAAGCTATTAACAGAGCAGGAGATAAGAAATTATAGATTAAATTTTTTTTTCCAATAAAGGTGTAAACATTAGATGACTCTTTACAGGAAGTGTTTAAGAAGGCTGTGTAAAGGAGGTGTCATTAGGGCTACATAAACAAAGTGATTTAACTCCTAAATGGCAGAGAATTGAACACTGAGACTGCAGGGCATGATCTATACACCAAAACTGTTTCAGTGAGCCCAAGTTATTTTGGGGACTATAGTATCCCTTTAAGACGCAGGCTAAACTATTAACCTGGGATCACTACATACAATAGATTTACTTCTGATTATGCAGACATATAAAAACGTGCATGTTTTGCATTTGATCTAATTGTGTTGTACTATATAATTTCTCATTAATTTACCTTTAGACATGCTCATTCTACAGATGACTTTCAGCATCCTAGTCAGAGGATTTCTTGGTTCTTATTTTGTATGTGGCTATCTCTATACAGCTGAACTCTACCCCACGGAGCTCAGGTAATCATGATAACTACATTATATCCATGATTTATCTGTCAATTAAATTCAGTTATCAATATTTATGTTTGGTGTTTTCATAATTTTGAAACACTTGTTTAAGTTCATCAAGAACTAAAGATTGCGTTCAACCAATGAAGGCTCCATTGGCGTTCTTTATAAATAAAACCCATGTGCTTGTAAATGATCTGTGAAATTGATACGGTAGGATTCTTTGTTTGCTCCATAATACACCGTTTTCAATGATGCCAGAGGGGTTAATTGAATGGGAGAAAAGTTTGAAACAAACTTAACACATAATGGTGGGACCAATACCATCAACTGGGTGGACAAATTGTACAATGCGTATGATGCATTCACAAAAACAAAGATTTCTGTATTTTATACAGGTTGGTAATGTCAAACTCCTACGTATATGAGCTAGATCCACGCAGTGTTTACTTAGTTGACTCATTTGTCGTCTTGTTTGAAGATGACGATGGTCTCTTCCTGTGAAAAAGACAGCGTGATAATTATAATAATACTATTAATAGAATTAAATCAAGGTAGTATGACATCAATATGCCAACATTTTGTAAAAAAGAGTTATATAACAGATTGCAAGGAAGCTTTAAAAACGCATTATTTTTCTGTGTAAGACTAAATGTATGATAAGTGTTATAGCCCATTTTATTTGTGTAGTTAATCACATACCTGCCACATTCTTAGGTTATTTGGTTATTTGTATATCCTTTTTGAAAGACTACTACAAACCTGTTCTGTAAGATTACCATAGTTACCATGACATTTAGTGCCCAGGTACTTGATGAAAATACCCTTGGGCACCTGGGCAAGTTTTATCAGGCCAAATGATACTTTAAATGGCGGCTTCCTTGACTGTAACTATTGGGCTATAATGTTGCACCTTCCAGTTTTCAGAGTGATTGGAGGATTCTCATTCTTATTTGACATTCTTTATTGTTGCAGTGCATGCGTATACAAACAAACCTATAGTAACATATCTACAAGAATATAGTAGACAAAAGAAGTAATGAGTATATCTGACATGTCAAGCATGTGTACTTATTTCTTTTTTTTGGGGGGGGGGGTGTTAAGACAAGATAATTCAAACAAGTGTATGTCAAATAATATCCAGGAGAAAGTAAAAGTACAAGCTTGCTGGTCTAGCCGACAACACTAAGTAGGGTACTGTCAGGATCGTGACAGGGATCCAATACGCAGAGTGCGGACAGGAAGAGGTACCGTATATACTCGAGTATAAGCCGAGTTTTTCAGCACATTATTTGTGCTGAAAAACCCCAACTCGGCTTATACTCGAGTCAGTGTCTGTATTATGGCAATTTACATTTATTTACATTGCCATAATACAGACTGGGGGCTGGCAGCGAGCACTTACCTCTCCTGCAGCTCCTGTCAGCTCTCTCCTCCTCCGCGCCGGTCCGTGCAGCTCTTCTCTCAGCTCCCAGTGTAAGTCTCGCGAGAGCCGCACTATGACCCCGCGGCTCTCGCGAGACTTACACTGGGAGCTGACCGAGGTGCTGACCGGACCGGCGCGGAGGAGGAGAGAGCTGCAGGAGCTGCAGGAGAGGTAAGTAACAGCTCACTGCCAGCTCCCCTCCTCCCCCCACTGAACTGCCAATGCCACTGGACCACCAGGGAAGGAGAGCCCCCCTCCCTGCCATGTATCAAGCAGGGAGGGGGGACAAAAAAAATAAATAAATATAATAATATATAAATAATAAAAATAATAATAAAAAAATAATATAACAAAAAAATCAAAATAATATTAATTATTAATATATAAATATAAATAATAATAAAAAATAATTAAAAAAATAATATAACAAAAAATTTAAATAATATTAATTAATAATATATAAATAATATTAAAAAAATATTATAACCAAAAAAATTAAAATAATAAATAATAATATTATTATTTTTTATTTTTTTATAAATATGCCCACCCCCCACCAAGGCTCTGCAACACAAACACACACTGCATCACACACACACACTGCATTCATACACACACACACTGCATTCACACACACACACTGCACTCATACACACACACTGCACTCATACACACACACACTGCACTCATACACACACACACACACTGCATTCATACACACACACACACTGCATTCATACACACACACTGCATTCATACACACACGCACTGCACTCATATACACACTGCATTTATACACACACTGCAAATAAATATTCAATTAATATAATTTTTTAGGATCTAATTTTATTTATAAATTTACCAGTAGCTGCTGCATTTCCCACCCTAGTCTTATACTCGAGTCAATAAGTTTTCCCAGTTTTTTGGGGTAAAATTAGGGGCCTCGGCTTATATTCGGGTCGGCTTATACTCGAGTATATACGGTACGTATACCGGACCTTAGAATGGCCGGACTAACGTATAGACAAGACAAGAATGGTCAAAAGATAAGCCGAGGTCGAGGGAGCCGGAGGACAGGTAAGCGAAGAACAAGCCGAGTCTAAGGAGAGGAGAGAGAAGCAGGACAAAGTACAAGCCAGGTCAAAACCGAAAGACACAATAAGAGGAACGCGCTGAGTGACTAGCAAGCTAGAACCATGACAGGGCAATGAGTAGTAGTACAGGCTTCCCTTAAATACCCTGTCACCTTAATTGATAACCACGCCCCCAAAAGGTCCGGAATTGCCGTTTCTGGCGGTTCACGTCGATGATGACGTCATGACGTCGACTATTGGCCGTCGCGTCATAAAAGGGGGAGGAGCTAGCGCGGCCGGCGTGAAAACGGCCGAAAATGCCGAAATGCTTGTGCATAGGAGCCGCTTTGGAGGAGAGACTGTCCAGGTGCCTGGCCTCCTCAGAGGTGGAAATTACAGGTACCATGACAGGTACTTGAGTTAAAGCCCACCAGGTGACGGTATCATTAGGATTAGCACTAGGTGATTTAACTGGTGAGTATTACAAAACAAAATAAGGTAATGGAAATAAAGTATTATAACAAGCTTATATCACATAGAGAAATTGCCACTGAGTACTAGCCACAACGAAAGAGCAATGCAATGTAACACAAAAAAAAAAAAAACACATTATGCAACATCTGCTCACTAGAAATTAATAGTTTGAAAAGAGAGAGGCAGATAGGCTTCCAAAAAAGAAAAAATAAGCCTATGCACATCATTTGTGTGTTGTGCCCTGGTATGCGGTCGAACACAAGCCCCGCAATGCAGCCACCCACCAACCCCAGACAGTAGCAAAGTCCAGCAACCAGGTCTCACGAGGTCCAGCACAGATTGTAACCAAGACGTGCCCGTGGGGATCTCCCACAGGTTGTTGACTTTTTTGTAGAGTTTGTGGACCCTCTGAATGCGTGACAAACAACTACAATTAGTAAGTTAATTTACCTATAAGTATGCATGCCTCTCAGGTAAAGCCACCACAAAAATTGTGACATTGGTATTTGTAAGTCCCTGATAAGGTTAAAGAAATAGATGTGCCTTGGAAAAGTTTATCTCATTTGAATGTGCCTTGGTGAAAAAAATGGTTGGGAACCACTGCCCAGGACTCCCATGATTGATGAAATGGGTATTAAGACTTCTATAAAGGATAGGTCACAGTTGCTTCTACAGAGGAGTCGGTGACCTACTACATGGTTAAAGAAAGGCACAAAATTGAGTTTTTGGAGATTAGTAAGTGCTTGGTGTATCACTGAGGCTTTGGATCTATGGCATCCTCTCCCACTTGTAGCTTTTACAGTCTCTGATAATAAGCTACACCTACAAATGAATAATGTTATGATTGTTGCTTTGCAATCTATCTAATTATTTTGCTCCCTGGCTACCTAATAAAGCCGAGATCATGGTTTTGTTTTTTATCAGTTGGTTACTCTGTGTGCATTTGTCCCATCGTACTCATTGCTCTATTTGTAAGGAGTCAAAACGTTTTGACTCTTCCCGCTTCTACTACCATGGAATCTGGCAGGAGCTTCCATCAGCTGATCACTTTCAGCCAGTGAGTTAAACCCTGCATTGTAGAGCTTAGCTCAGGACAGATAATGGATGTTCTTTCTTCGGAATGTCTGTTATCCATCCATGGTAGTGAAAGCAGGGAGTGCAGCCAGACCCCAGTTAAGAAAATCAAACCATTCAAAAATGCTTTGGCTTCTTACAGTGGGACAGCTTCAGGACACTCGGCAGTGGTTATGGTGTCTGGAGTTTTCTTTTAACATCAGCGGTTTTTATTTCCTGTCCTATTTGCTATGAGTTAGCACAGCTATCGTAATGTGCTAACGTGAATTGATCTCAGAAAATTTTGGTAAGTATGAAAAAGTCTTTATTCTTGCGTTTACTGACTAAGAAGTGAACTGTGGTATATTGAAAATGGATTGGAAAATGGGTGTAAACTCTGGTTTGGAGAATTTTTCCAGCGCAACCACGAAATTCTGCTTTCAATTCGCTTTTGTGTTTAGTGAATAAACCTTACAGGGCTCTTTATTAAAATGTGGATTGATCAGAGAACTGCAAATGTTAGTTAAGATGAATAATTAGCTGAGTTGGAGATTTATTTATTTTTACCCAAACCAGCTACCTAGGTTTACAATGTGTGATTTTTTTAGCAATTCTGCATTATTCCCTTGTTTACTAAATATCACCGAGAGTGTATTCAGCTGACATAATAACCCACCCCCACCTAATGCCGGATAATGTTACTCAGAGACAAGATAATGTTTGTAAGATGCTGTTAAATAATGCACACATTGCTACTGAAAGGCAAAGAATAGTCTGTTTCACTAATGACAACCAAACTATTCTTATCAGGGAGATAACATTTCGTATCACTAATGCAATCTATTGCAAAATCTCACTTAACATTTAATAGCAAAGTATAGTTTCATTAGTGTGCCAGAGATACACGAAGAGCCACTTTATTTCGGTAAGGTTTTTTTCACTAAACAATTAGTCGGTGTGGAGCTCAAAAAGCTAAAATTCAGGCTAAATTTTTTTTCCAAATGAGCTAATCTAGCCTTAATTTTGCAGATAATTAAATGGTTCACTACTTGTCATCCTCCTTACAACTTAAGCACTTTTTAAATAGTATAAAATTCTATTTGCACATTGTGATAGCAGATTTGCTAGCAAATTTATTGATTGGGAGAAAAACCTATTAACTACCAAAATATGATTTTCTCCCTCTTTTTTTGTGTTTGTGCTTAGACAAAGTTGCACAAATCTCATATTACCAGCCAGGAAGAGAGTATGTTGGCTGGTTAATTTAAAGTTTAGAGAAGTGGCCATACACAAAGGAAAAGTATCTCCATAATAAAACCTTTTTAGAAAGAAAAACTGCGGGGACAGTCTTTGCAATACAACCACCTCAATAATATTAAATGGTTATGGCGATTAGATTGACCCTTCAAATTCAGTTTTAGGAAATAAACCCACCAATGGATGAAGCATCAGTGTTCAGTCATCTTTTTTCCTCCCAGCATCTTTCCTGATTGGCTGGACTGCTTCCTGCTGTGGGAGTAAAAATAACTAATGTGGAGATTATTTCAGTTTAGGTATTTTGACCTAAAATTTACAGTTCTGTTGCCTATTCTCCACGACTTCCGATAGTGAATAACCTCAATTTTTTTTTTCTACAGACAGACAGGCATGGGATTCACCAACATGATGATGAGATTGGGTGCTGTGGTCTCACCTCTAGTGACGATGACAAAAGCGTATATGTCGTTTCTACCTCTTTTGATATTCGGTGTGGTGTCCACTGTATGTTCAATACCCCTTCTGTTTCTACCAGAGACACTCAACTCTCCCCTTCTCGACACAGTGGAGGAAGTAGAGAAAGGGTATGTATAGAATGGAAGCTACTCCCGAAACAGTGATACAGAGTCTTCACTTCCACACTTCCCAATGGTATTTAATCCATAGAATCTGTAATGGACACAAAAACAACATAACGTTAGTACAGTCATGTAAGGGTTTATTCACTAAACTAATTGTTGCAAACTTAAATCCTAATGGCATAGCTGCGGCACAAATAGCTAATTTGGAAAACATTCTCCCCCACAGCTATCATTATAGGGATTCTATAGTGTAACTCTATCTCTAACACTATAGTGCCCTCTGGTGCCCCCCCACACTGCATGTAAAGGGTTGAAAAAAAACCTTTGTTTACAGTGCAGGTGTCCCTTGGCGCTGGGTTGGTGCTCCGTCTCATCTAACGTCATCCACAGGGTAGTTAATGTGCACACACGGTGAGCACATTAGGCCTTCCCCAGAGGAAAGCATTGTCTCAATGGGAAATCTTATGGAGATTTCACTGACCCTGGATGTCCTCATGCTGAGTGTGAGGACATCCAGCATCAGTTAGCAACCTGGACTCTGTTAACATTCAGGAAGTGGCTGTCTGACAGCCACTAAAGGCAGTCTTAGTCCTGCAATTATTGTAATTTCTCTAAAACTGCAGTGATTTACATTGCAGAACTAAGCGGGACTGGGACACTGCACTCAGACCACTTAAATGAGCTGAAGTGGTCTGGGTGACTATGGTGTCCCTTTAAAGTGTTTCTATAACCCTTTGAGAGGTGGGGACCTTTCCGGTGTAATATTACACTTTTTATGTGCTGTTTGTGAATATATAAGTGATATGTGTCCGTGCAACACCTGGGATTTGAACCCAAAGGAAAACCCGATGACCCCCACACTACCAGAGAGGTGGGGATGTGTCATGAGATAACACTGCCTTTTCATGTTATAACTCTTTCTCTCTAACCATAACCAATATGCTGCTGTTACTCTCCTGGATCTCAGTGGAAGTATAGATGGAAATACGCTACTGTGTTAACCAATAGTGGCGTGTGCAACAAAATTGTCCTCCCCAGAACTCCATCCTGACAGTAATCTGCAGGGCACTTTCCACTAAGTAGCTTGAGAGCACTATACTAGTAATTTTTCTTTTTTATAATAGATGGATGCTTTGAAGAGCAGCTGCAGGATGTGAAATAAAACAAACAAAAAAAACAACTTGTAATATCTTCATCATGCCCTTTCCATAAACTGTAGAGATACAGGACTAAACATCCAGGGCTTCAGCCCCCAAAGGCTGTCATGCCCAGCAAGCATGATCTGTTATATTATACAAAATATTGTTTATCAATGGAGTGGATGCAGGGAATGGTTACCCGATAAAGGTAGTACTGCTGATTACAGCACTGGAAGGGTTCATTTTGCAGCTAGAGGAACGTTCCATTTGACAGATCACAGGAAAAGGTTTGCAAATAAGGTTCCTTCCTTTTAATCCAAAACATCCATCTGTGTCCCTCAAGCCAGATATAAAACTTTGCATCAAAACACATTCATATGGACATTTTACCCGGACCTATTGGCTGCCTATCTTTTGTATACTCTGCTCAGCAGACCTTCTACCGATTTGGTATGCTAAGCAATAATTAGGAGTCCATTGCAAGGCTCTCTACTAAGAGTCAGACCCAAAAAACATTAATAACCCATAAATAAATAATAATAATCATGTTCCTGTTAAATATATTCAGAATGCAGAGGGTATTCCCTACAAAAGCAGTCCAAACATTACCAGTTTACCTGAAGTCATTTGTAGTAATGGTGAAAGTCAGTTGTTCTAAGTGGCAGATGGGTCTTGCAGTGTGTCTTTGGAATGGAGGAATTATGACAGTTCCAAATATGAAAAAAGTGTCATAAACCTAGAATTTCTTCAGTCACACCTACCTTGTACCTTCTTTGGGGCAAGTTTGAAGAACTTGAGATGGGCACATAGTATATAACATCTATGACTTGTACATTACAATTTTACTTCTTGGTGCAATATAAATTGGGGTGAGTTGCCATTTTCCTTGCCAGAACCTATCTTTTTATTGTTCATAATAATATTCCTTTTTAAAGGAACACTTTAGTCAGTGTGCACTTCCTGTTAGTCCGGTCGGGTACAGGAGACAGATGCTCCCTGTACCCGCGGACTATACTGGGCTCGGCCACGCTACAGTGAGGGAGTGACAGGAGGGAGCGCTTCCCTCCTGTCAGCCCCTCTCCTCATGCTGCGCCCAGGCGGTGCGCCCTCATGGACGCACCGCCCGGGCAAAGCTGCAGCCGCCTGAGGCTCTCTACAGAGAGCTCGGGCGGCTGCAGCATGGGGGGGCCGGCGCCCCTGGTCATGGCACCCCCCACCCTGGTGGCACCCGGGGCAGACCGCCCCCCCCTTAGTACGCCACTGACTTTAGTGTCAGGAATCACCACCCCACGATCGGCTCTGGTGATGCCTCTCCCCCCATTTCAGCAAACAGGAGACTTTACTCAGCTTTTTTCCCATGCCGTGCCAGTCTCAGCTGCCGGTTCCGCCTCCATGGCTGAGATCATCAATCTTATTTAAAAGGCAGTGTTTACAGAGCTAAGGCTGCAGGGACATGCTATAGTCACCATAACCACTCCACTACATTAAGCTGTAGTGGATCTGCCATTGTCTGATGGAATGTACTTAAGTGTTTTTATTGCATACATATGTTGCTAAATTGTGTTTTGTGGGCTTTTAAATCTGATTTAGTGGCATAAACTCATGTGCACCCTTTATAAATTGCCTTGGTGGTGGCAGCGTTTGATACTAGAGATAAGTGTGGGCGGTGTGAAAGAGATTTGTTTTACCATTTTCTAAACCCTTTCATCTACTGGACTAAGTCATGTGCTCCTCAAAGTAATGGTAGTATTTGTGTCAGCCCCCACAACACCAGATGGGAAAGTTTTTATAAAACATAGCAGCTGAAAGGTTGGTGAATACGAGCCGTAGAATTTCCTATAATAAGATTAGTATATAGGTATATGTGCTGGTATCTATAAGATTAACAGATCTGGAAATATTCAATTTTTATTCTTTTTTTATTTTTTTTTTAGGAATCGTAAAGAAATGAACAATAATACAACAAAGGAAACCCAATCTGTACAGAACACCAAACTGTAGAGAAACTTCCTTGCACAACATGTGACACCCGATAAGACTGTATTCAATACTGCACGATGACAGAATAATTACACCTGTTTTTAATTTCAGTTAAATCAATATGGATTGGTGTTGGGTTTTGCCAGCTTCCACCACCGAGCTCTATATAACCGGCTGGGAACTACTCATTGCAGTATGTGTTTTTCTGAAAACAGCCAGTAGATGGTGGCAACATATTTCCATTGACTGCAAGGGGTGCCCAAAAGGTAGATCCCCAGATGTTTTATAACGACAGGATCCATGATGCTTTGTCATTCTAAAGGCATTCCGAAGATGCAAAGCATCATGGGAGCTACAGTTCTACAACATCTGGAAATCTACCTTTTGGGCACCCATATCAACTGTTAAATACAGTAAAACCCATTCCTAATATCAGAATTGATATTAGCAGTGATGTACCTTAAAGGACCACTCTAGGCACCCAGACCACTTCAGCTTAATGAAGTGGTCTGGGTGCCAGGTCCAGCTAGGGTTAACCCTTTCTTCTATAAACATAGCAATTTCAGGAAACTGCTATGTTTATGAATGGGTTAAGCCTTCCCTATTTCCTCTAGCGGCTGTCTCATTGACAGTCGCTAGAGGCGCGTGCGTGATTCTCACTGTGAAAATCACAGTGAGGGCATGCAAGCGTCCATAGGAAAGCATTGATAATGCTTTACTATGTGACCGGCTGAATGCGCGCGCAGCTCTTGCCGCGCGTGCGCATTCAGCCGACGGGGAGGAGAAGAGGGAGGACCGGAGGAGGAGAGCTCCCCGCCAAGCACTGGAAAAAGGTAAGTTTAACCCCTTTCCTCTCCCCAGAGCCGGGCGGGAGGGGGACCCTGAGGGTGGGGGCACCCTCGGGGCACTATAGTGCCACGAAAACGAGTGTGTTTTCCTGGCACTATAGTGGTCCTTTAAGGTTAGTGATGGGATTAGAGTAGTATTAGATTTAGGGGTAAGAGTAGGGTAGGATTACACTTAGTGCACGGTTAGGGTAAGGTAAGGGTTTGTGCTGGTTTTAATGCTGTTTTAGGGTTAATGACAGGGTAGGGTGGAGGTTAAGGGTATGATTAGGGTAGCCATACAGTTTGAAATAGTATAAGCATTGGATAAGGGCTATGGTTGGTATGGCGTTAGAGTGGGGGTTGATATAGGCTTAATGTTAACTATCAAAAATTAATTTAGAACCTCAACATGTTAGGCATTTAAGAATCAGGACTGATATATGAATCTACTTTGAGTTCTTTTTAATTAGTTGCACTGAATGTGTAAATATTATTATAACCAAAAATTTGAAAAACATTTTGTAAAATTTGTTTTAATCATATTTAAAACTTTATTCAAACATAATGTTGAGTTAGGTATACATATAGGATGTTAAATTAAAGCCCTTTCTGTCCTTTAAAAAAGTATGTATAATATGTGTAGGCACTTGAAAAGAAACCCTTAAATTATGATGGAACAAACCTACAGCTCAAGTTCAAGGTTTTCTTTTGGTTCACAACATGGACAAAGTCCTCCCTCTTTAACGGGTCAATAATGCAGCACAGGAGACTAAAGCATATGTTCAGGCACAACACATATTAGGTACAATGCACATGTTGAGGTAGATATAACTTCAAGTGTAAACATTTTTTTAAATGTCTTATAATTTTTATTTCATTGTGCGTTTGTATATAAGTAATGCAAGTAATATATAAGTAATGCAAAAAAAAAATAAAAATAAAAGAATTCTACTCAAACATGGTCAGGGTTATTCATAACAGTGTGTATTGTCAGCATAAATTCAAAGTTAACTTCAAAATTAGGCAAAAGTGTCTGAACTGGAAACATTGCTTCACTAAGAAATCCCAACAATTCAAAGTTTAGTAAATAACCCTTTTTGATTGCCAGAAATGTACCTATTGCTTTGACCTTCTTTGGGCACACTCTTGGCACTCAGAAATTGATATCATAATCAATGCATCTTATTATAGTGATAATTCAGTGCCAAATAAAAAAAATAAAAAAAACTTTCCACCAATCTCAACTCATTGTAACAGTAATATCTACAATAATAACAATGTGTCCACATTGAGCACATTTTGTCAAAACATTTCCCCCTAATTATTAATATTTTGATATAACATGTATTAATATTTTTTCATCAGCTTTTCAAATTATTTAAAATTTTTGAAAAACATTTGAAATAATTTTTCTAAATATTAAATTATCAAACATTATATCACAAAAAATATATAAAAATGTTAAAATATTTATCGAAAAATATTAAATCATTTGAAAAGCTTATCCAAAAATGTTAAATCAAGACCAAAATGTCAGTTTATTCAACAAAAGGATTTGACGCTTTACTTACAGTATTTTATCAAAATTGAAAAATGCACCTATCTTTTCTTCATCGAATTTTTAATATATTCAATGTATTTTATTCACAATATATAAAGACGAGCAGTAAAATCAAGTAGGGTTGCTCTCTGAAATATGCAACGTTTAATATGTGAAATGTAAAATTCTGCAGTAATATATATGTATAATATATATGTATATGAGACATCTTACTTTAAACATTTTACGTTAAATGTACACTTTAAGTGTATACTTAAATACATATATGATGGAACTATTATTGATAACATAACTATATGTGGTTATGCAGAGAGGCACCACTGGGAGGTGCTGTTAAAGGACCTCAACCTCTAATTCCTTAAAGGACCACTATAGTGCCCTGAGGGTGCCCCCACCCTCAGGGACCCCCTCCCCCCCGGCTCTGGGGAGAGGAAAGGGGTTAAAACTTACCTTTCTCCAGCGCCGGGCGGGGAGCTCTCCACCTCCGATCCTCCTCCTCTCCTCCCATTTGGCTGAATGCGCATGCGCGGCAAGAGCTGCGCGCGTATTCAGCCGGTCTCATAGGAAAGCATTTACAATGCTTTCCTATGGACGCTTGCGTGTTCTCAATGTGATTTTCACAGTGAGAATCACGCAAGCGCCTCTAGCGGCTGTCAATGAGACAGCCACTAGAGGATTTGAGGGCTGGATTAACCCATTTTTTAAAATAGCAGTTTCTGTGAAACTGCTATGTTTATAAAAAAAAATGGGTTAACCCTAGCTGGACCTGGCACCCAGACCACTTCATTAAGCTGAAGTGGTCTGGGTGCCTAGAGTGGTCCTTTAAAGTAAAATGAATATAATTGTCTCCTTTTCTGCAATTTTAGATTGTTTTCATTACAAATCATTTGATAACATTTACACCTCTTTGAGTTTTTAATCACATTTTCACTTCTGTAGAATCATGTACGAGATTAGTGAGCATGTGTTGCTAGTTAGTTAGCTACTAGTTACTAGTTAATTCTACTTTAAAGGGACACTATAGTCACCCCAAAAAAACTTTATAACTTTAGCTTACCACTTTTTGTGTATAGATCATGCCTCTGAAGTTCCAGACCTCTATTAGCTGCTTCTGTTAGTCACACCTCCCCAGCCTGTGCCTGACACAGTCTGCATGAAAACAAAATGGCTTCATTTTCAATCACATGTAACGTTCTTAAAAAGTTTGAATCTTCTGCTCTGTAAATTAAACTTTAATCACACACAGGAGCCTTCCACAAGCTCTAGCAGTCTATTAACAGAGAATGACATACAAATTTATAAATGAAACCAAATTTACAAGAAATGAAGTGTAAACATTAGATGACTCTTTACAGAAAGAGTTTAGGAAGGATGTGCAACATGCAGGGAATTGTGACTAGGACTGCATAATGAAGTAATTTAACCCCTTATTGGCAGAGAGTTTAGCATGATCTATACACCAAACCTGCTTCATTAAGCAAAAGTGGTTTTGGTGACTATAGTGTCCCTTTAACACAAGTGTGAATTGTTCAAATTCAACTTTGCTTGGAACCCTGTTGCACATACCAGTTTTGTTAAACTTAAGCTATAGAGATGTAAAAGTTTGTGTTGTGTCTGTGTTTTATATTCAAAGACCAGTAAACTGTGATTTGAAAGGTGTCTCTGAAAAGTACTATAATTAAAGAACTAATTTTCATAGATTCTAGTGGCATTCCAAACATGTTACACAGAATTCTAAATACATATTTAAGGGCATTCATTCTCGGCACAAGAATATCATTTTGCCTCTTTATAAGTCACTGGTAAGACCCCATATTGAATATGCTGTGCAATTTGGGGCACCTTGTCTAAAGAAGGATATTATGGCACTAGAAAAAGTGGCTACAAAATTATAAAAAGGAATGGAACATATCAGCTATGAAGAAAGGTTAACAAATTTAAACCTATTTAGTTTAGAAAAACGTCGCCTGAGATGGGGATATGATAACATTATACAAATATATTCGGGGGCCAATACAAACCATTGTGTGGAAATCTATTCACAAACCAGACTTTACATAGGACACGAGGCCATGCGTTTAGACTGCAAGAAAGAAGATTTCGTCTAAGGCAAAGGAAAGGGTTTTTTTACTGTAAGAACAATCAGGATGTGGAATTCTCTGCCTGAAGAAGTGGTTTTATCATAGTCCATACAGATGTTCAAACAGCTACTAGATGCATACTTGCAAAAACAGAATATTCAAGGATATCATTTTTCAATGTAGGGTAATAACTGCTTGATCCAAGGATTAATCTGACTGCCATTCTGGGGTCAAGAAGGAATTTTTTTTCCTAGCTTGTTGCAAAATTGTGCTTCAAACTGGGTTTTTTTTTTTTTGCCTTCTTTTGTATCAATAGCAAAAAAACAAATGTGAGGTAGGCTGAACTTGATGGACACAAGTGTCTTTTCAGCTATGTAACTATGTAACTATATTGTAATAATTCACAATTTGTGACGTGCAAGAAAATAAACAAATTTTACCTATGCTTAGTCCACTTACCTTTCTAATAATGTTTTAGTTTTGATAGCGAGGGTGTAGTGATTTTTTTTTTAGTATGTTCACGTCTGTGCGTATGCAGTGGTACTTAGAAATTAATGTAAGTCAGTTGCTCCCATTAATTCCAATGGGTGAAGCGTTACATGTGTCTGCCTGGATACATGCTTCAATCAGGGAGTAGGTCTGTGATAGGAGAGCCATGTCTGGATGAATTGTGTTTTGAAGAAGGTGTATGAAAGCCATGAGGGGAACTGCAAAAAGAGATATTTAGAGGTATTTCTTTTTTAATGTAATTTTTAAAATATTAATAAATTATTTTTTTAAATCTTATTTTATAAAAGATCCTGATGCTTGCTTACAAATCTGTACGCAATGCTGCTCCGACCTACTTATCCTCACTATTAGACAAATATGTCCCGTCTAGGCCCCTACGCTCTGCCGGAGACTTTCATCTGTCTGTTAGTCCACACATTGTACAATGCTACAAAACTTGTTGGTGCTTTATAAATTATAATAATAATGCATTTTCTTCCCACTATATGAAAATGAGTGGTAACAACAAGTTGCTCATTTTAATATGGAAACTGTAGAAATCTGCCTAATACAAATATGACTGGCAACCCACTGGTTTGGGAAATTCATGAGGTCTGCACCCACTGAGGATGCAGACCGAAAGCAGCCTGGGCCCCTACTTCATAATAGTGGGCTAGCCGGAGAGGGAGATCTTTGATCTCCCCAACGGTAACGCAGCTGTATCTTTGAGCCGCTGCTTGGTCAGTGATGGTCCTGCAGGGGCTGGACAGGGACACTTTTTTTGTCTGGTTTGAATGATGATCAGTCTGGGCCTGTTTATGTCCCATTATAGTATATATAATGTTTGTATCTGCATGTGAATAAAAGAAACCCATAAATATCGGGATGCACAAGGACATTACAACCCTATGTGATAACTTATGGTCTTCTTTGTAATGGATTTTCCTTCCAGAGGCAGTAGAAGCGGAAATGGCTTTTGCATCATTTCATGATTTGTAAGGCACAACGTCATCTTGGTAAGCTGTGTGTCTGCTGCCTGCCTCTGATTAGTACATTAAAAAGTATTAACCAGCATTCCACCATCAATTATGAGGGTATATTTATGTTAGTTTGTGACCTTAAAGTCCATCCAATCAACCAATTCCTGTAGTTGTGGGAAGGGTTACCTGGCCTATAAATTCACAGGCCTCCCCTTCCTCTGTGCTGATACTTCCTTGGTCAGTCCACCCACCTCTTCTTTTATCAAGCCATTCCGTTTTAGTGGGTCGTCTTTTTACAGGCCTATTGGAATGTCAGTTTCGACCCATCACAAATGACTTACACCACCACTACTATAACTCTGCTTATTGTCCCTGACCACAAATATATATACACACACATTTTTGTTGTTAGATTACTGCTCCCTCATCTACATTTAGGCATTAAAGTTACAGAAGCATGCACTGTAACTGCTTCATCAATTAAGTGGTTATAGTGTCTAGAGCCCCCTAGTGCAGTTCTTCCATTTGACAGTAAACCGTTGTGTTTTTTTTTTTTTTTTTTTATGTTTTAATGCTAAATCAGAGACTTCAGCAGTCAATCCTATCTTTACTGCTTGGACTGATAAAGAAGCATTAGCCTGAGCAGCAATGGGTGGCTGTGATTGGTTGAGAGTGTCAGCTTTCAGTCTATCACCAGGGGCAGACTGAGCACTCTGACATGGACCCAGGCTCTGGGGGGGCGCCGCCCCTGCTGCAGTAAGTAATGGCTGAGCTGGGGAGTTAAACAATCT